TAACTGAACAAATAAATGCTGGGTTACTGATGGTGGTAAGGCCCCTGACAGAAGTACCTGCAGAGTAGCTTGGTGAGGGGTGGGAGGCTGGCCTGGCTGAGGAGCTTCCATTTATCTGGGCCTGAAAGATGGGGAGGAGCCAGCCATGAGCAGGGCTGAGGGGACAGCATCCTTGGATGAGAGAACCAAGAACCCAAGGGCCCCAACATGGCGAGGAGCTTGCATGTTACGGGATCTCACAGAATCTGGCCCTTGTGGGCAGAGAATCATGAGCCAGGAAAACGAGGTACAGGGTGAGGTTTGAATGAGGGCAGGTACCAGATCTTACAAGGCAGAGATTGGGGGGGGGGGGATTAGGTTTTATTGCAATGGAATAAAAATATTTTAATTTGGGTAAGGGTGACAGAATCCAATTTATATTTCTTCAAAGATCACTTTGGCTGTGTAGCCACCATGTGTGGCAGAGGCTGCCAGCTCTTTCCATTATTCATCTCTCCTTTTTACACAGCAAAGGAGTTTCTCAACGGGCATGTGGCCACCCAGCTCAAGATGACATTCCAGCCGCCCTGGCCGTCGGTGTGGCCGTGTGACCAGGTTCCGGCCAGTGGAGGGTGAGTGGAAGTGACACCTGCTGCCTCCGGGCCACGCCCTCTCAGGGCAGGTGTGCGCCTTCTCTTTCCACTTCTCTTCTGCGACTGGCTGGACGTGGACCAGTGGGTGGGAGCTTCCCTTGAGATGGAAGCCATGTGACGAGGACGGCAGAGCAGCAGGCAAATGCAGACCGATGAGGTGGGGCTGCCTCGCAGGCCCGGCTGTCTTACCTGGGTGTTTTCAGGGGTGAACAATAAATGTCGAACTTGCTCAATTTTTATTAAATTGGGTCTCTACTATAGTGGGCACACCATATCCTAATTACAGGGGGAGATGGCCCAGGGCACACCAGGGACCAAAGGAACTCAGGCCCCACCCCCCACCCCCAGGCATCTAAATGAGACTAGCTTTCACCTGGTGATCCCTGTCAGCATCATTCCCGTGAACAAGTGGTCTGGAGTTTGGTAGCCACTTGGTAAACATTTCATGAAAAAGTTAATGAGTTACCCCCATTCCCTTCTTGATGTAATCAGCCTATTGAAGATGCTCACATTTACATAGAAACATGGAATGGTTGTATTTCCTCCTGCAAGTAAGCACTTTATCTGTGCTCTGTGGACTTCCCCTTCCCACCCTTTAATAATATCTTGGACAATTTTCCATTGCCCCAAGCTCTTGTGCTTTCTGTTATGCAAGTTCATTCAACTTAAAACCCGCTTTCTCATAAGTGAATGCCCATCTCCTCCCACCTCCCTCTCATCTCCAAGTCCCCACTTCTCCCAGGCTGGTACTGAAGAAGGAGTGAGAGAGACACATGCTCTTTTCTTTCATTTATTCTTTTTAAAAATATATATTTTATTGATTTTTTATAGAGAGGAAGGGAGAGGGATAGAGAGTTAGAAACATCGATGACAGAGAAACATTGATCAGCTGCCTCCTGCGCACCCCCTGCCTGCAACCAAGGTGTATGCCCTTGACTGGAATCGAATCTGGGACCCTTCAGTCCACAGGCTGATGATCTATCCACTGAGCCAAACCAGTTAGGGCTCTTTCATTTATTCTTATCACTGCTGTTGCAGTCCCCTCTTTTAAAAAAATTATTTTATTGATTTCAGAGAGGAAGGTATTCTTATCACTGCTGTTACAGCCCCCTCTTTTTTAAAAAAATTATTTTATTGATTTCAGAGAGGAAGGGAGAGGGAGAGACAGAAACATCAATGATGAGAGAGAATCATTGATCAGTTGCCTCTTGTATGCTCCCTCCTGGGGACTGAGCCCACACCTGGGCATGTGACTTAACTGGGAATCGAACCACGATCTCCTGCTTCACAGGTTGACACTTAACCACTGAACCACACTGGCCGGGCTGCAGACCCCTCTTGATGGTCGTCACCAGACACCAACCAGCACAGACGCTCGCTGTTTGGCAGATGTCCACTTCCTGGCTTTCTCGTGGGATTCAGAGTCCACACTGAGGGAGTGTGGGCTCTCTGGAGGGCCCTGCAGGACCTCCACTCTTCTCAGGGCCCAGCCATGGCAAGTCAGGGTGAGCTCAGACCCCATCACCAGCAAGACACCCCACCGCCTCCTGCCTCCATAGGCAGCCTGAGGGGAGGGTGCTGGTGCAGGCACTAAGCTCAGCTCATCTACCCACTCCAGGTGGAAACCACAGGCCTTTGCCATGCACAGGACAGATCAACAGGCAGGTTTCAGGGGAAGGAGATACAGGTCCTTCCTTGTCACAGGCCCTCTCAGCGGTCTCCCACCCTCTCCCCCCCTCACCCAGCCTCTCCCAGCCTCTCCCCTCTCCCAGCCTCTCCCACCCTCTCCCACCCTCTCCCACCCTCTCCCAATCTTGGCTTTGGGGCAGAGGAAGGCTAGGGAGAGAGTAACTGTCACCACAAACGCTGTATCCTCAGCAACGTGACTCTCCCTCCTGCTCCTCAGTCCCTTCCTCACGTCAGCGTGGGGGGTGGTAGCTATCAAGGTGGGGCCTTTTCTGCCAACTCTTACTGGTCTCCGAGGAAGTGCCTGCTGCCTAAATATTGGTGGCCTTGTTTAAATAAGGAGGACTCAGTGACCTTTTCCCCTCTCCCAATCTTGGCTTTGGGGCAGGGGAAGGCTAGGGAGAGAGTAACGGTCACCACAAACGCTGTATCCTCAGCAACGTGACTCCCTCCTGCTCCTCAGTCCCTTCCTCACGTCAGCATGGTGGGTGGTAGCTAATCAAGGTGGGGCCTTTTCTGCCAACTCTTACTGGTCTCCGAGGAAGTGCCTGCTGCCTAAATATTGGTGGCCTTGTTTAAATAAGGAGGACTCAGTGACCTTTTCCATCAGCTTTGGGCCTAGTTGCCAATTCTGTGTAACAGCAAAAGTCTTCATCAGTGCCTATGAAATCACTATTGTTATAGTTACTCGCACAATCATTAACAACATCAGCCAGATTATATAATTATTAAAATTGTCGTGGTCACCCTCCCTGCCATCCTCACGGTTACCATGGTTCCATACCCACTGGCCACCTTCACCATTATTCCCACTGCAAACACCATGACCTTCTCCAACACCATTGAGACCAGCATCGGTGATCGCTGCGTAACGTGAGCCGCTCTAACAAATGGGCCACAACAAAGGCTCTCACAAATGCTCAAATACAATAGGAGATCATTCCTCATCTATGTAAGTGCTCAAAGCAGGTGCTCTTGGTGGGCAGAAGGCTTCCTCCACCCTGATTTAGAGTTTAGCCTCTACCGTCTTCTAGCGCCTCACTGTCATCCGCATGTAGCCAAAGGGGGTTAGGAGGGTGTGGGTGGTCCCACCTACACCTGCTTCTTAAAGTCTCGGGCTGGAAGTGCGCACATCATTTCTGCTCACATCCCATTGGCCCTTAGAACACAGTCGTTGGCCATGCCTAAAAGCGAGGGGATGTGGGATGTGCAGTAAAACAGTTTTTGAACACGTGGTAGCAGTCTCTGCCAGGCCATCCGACAAGCAATTCAGTTCCTCTGCTCTGTGCCCAGCCTGTGCTAGACCCGCCCTGTACAACACCAGGAGAGTATAAGGTTGCTATGAGCAAAGGTCTTAGGAACCAAGTAAATAGCAATACAAAGCAACATACTTTGGGCTTGATTCTTATTTTGTAGTTAGTATTGTGGTAGCTCAGAGTGTGCTGAGAGGGTTAGGAGGAGCCTTGGAGGACGGGCAGAATTTCTGTGGCTGAGGAAAAGTGGAGTTTGAGGTGTGGAGGGTGCTTTTTGCAGAAGAGTGGCCTGGGCATAGGCCGGAACGGACTCAGCTTGAGCAGAGAGGAGACTGGCCGGATGGAGCGGGTGAGCACTGGGGAACGAGTAAGAATGAGCTTTGAGCAATTGCATGGAGTTAGAATGCCGAAGGTCTCTGTCTATACACTCTTTCAGACCCCTTTACATGTATGTTAAAGTTCTTGGGCCGCAAGCAACAGAAAGCTAGCTTGTCTAAAGGAAACGGGCAGGATCGCAAGCGCGTGGGGCGGGCAATGCAGTGTGCTGCAGAGGCAGAAGGGGACGGAGGGCCGGTTCCTAGGTTTTGGCATCTGGTGGTGGTAAGCCCTGGGCAGCAGGGAACAAGTCCCAGCCTCTGTATTACCCTTTCAACGCGCATATTCTAGGGGAGAGCCCTGTGTCGCCCCAGGCGTCAGGCGTCCTCTGGGTCAGTGTGTCTGGCTGGGGTGCTGTTTTATCTTAGTACCCTGTCCTCACCGTCCCAGGAAGTGTGTCTATGGTTAGTGTAGGCAGCTAGATAGTAATGAGGAAGGGCGCAAAGGGAATCAGACACTATTCAGCCTAATGAACAAGGGAGCGGAATCTCACCATAAGCCTGCTCGCTTCACTAGGAGGTACGGCTTCACACTCTCCCCAGGGAACCACCAGCCCGTTCCTCACAGATTACTGGGGGGAGGAATGAAAAATAAAGGCAACTCCTCTGCTGGGCACATGCGCAGTAGAAGCCAAGATGGGACCATAGAGACCTGTCTGAGTAGCCTGGGCAAAGGATGGGATTGGACAGGGGACACAACACCCCGGAAGGTCTAGGAAAGAGATGGTTAGGGGAGGCTCCAGCGCCAGCCCGTGGAAGCTTGGGAAATTGACTGGTTGGTTTGAAGAAGCACCTGGTCCCTCCCGAGCCTGAGAATATAATCCCAGTGCTGGGTCCGAGCCCCTCTGCTGGGGATGGAACCTCTTTGGATGCTGGGAACTGGAAAAAGACACGAGCAGCCAGAGGTAGATGGGACATGCTTTCATGCAGACAAAGCAGCCATTGCACACACAGCAGCCAGCCAAGCAGCAGCCCCCACCGCTGTTCAGCGACATATTTTATACTAAAGCAGACAAGACAGGCTTCCTACCAGGTAGGGACACCCGTGTTACACAAGATAGAGGTGACGGTGCGCAGTGCGTGCAGTAACACCGCTGTGTCATGGCCTTTGCACATGCGTGTGGCACGTGGGCCTTTAACATGCGGTGCACTCTGGTCCGGGTCCTCACACTCCAGCCCTTAGGCTGGATGGTCTTTTAGGGGTATCCTGGCCCATATGCAGCTCCTTGAACACAGAGCCCACAATAACAATACAAACTGCAGCATGTTAGGGTCAGTACTCCGGCCCCAATAGCAAAATTCAAGAACGTCCAATGCCGGACAGTCCATTTCACCCCTCTTGGAGGGGGTCATGGGGGAGGGCGTGTATGGCCTGAACATCATTATCTACCTCTTGCAGGGCGTTGCTTACATTGCCAGGGCTGGACCCAGGGGTGTGGCTGTAACTTATAGCCGTGCCTGTTTCCCCAAGCGGATAGGAGGGCCACCATGGCCCTTCTCCTGTAACGGACCACGGCCAGGTCCACACTGCCTCTCCCCCTCTGCCAGGGGGCAGGCTTTGGGTCACAACTGTTCACCTGTTGTTTTCATCTGCACGTGCAGTGTCTGAGGATATCTCTGTATCATGAACTCATCTAGCCCAGTCTCTTAGGCTAGGTGGGTCCGCCCCTAGCAGAGCTTGCCTTTTAACAGGCCGTATTTCTTGTCTCCATTTGGGGCGATGATCTATTATCCACTGTTGCTTGTGCCATTGTGGCAACCACAAAGTTAAGTCTTTAAAGACAGCTCAGCTGTCTGTTCCAATGGCTACTTTGCCCAGCATTTGACTCGAACCACATAGTTAGTCAGTATCTAAATGGACAGCCACAGTCGTCCATGCAGCAGGGCTACCCCTGCTAGACCCGTCCGTACACCACATGGTCTCCGGGGGGTGGGGGGGGAGTGTGTGTGGCGGGCCCTCTCACAATGGACTAAGGAGCAGCACCTCCATAGGAGTTCCACCCCTTGACAGGGTCTCATAAATCACAGGTCCCAACATAGGGCCCCCACTTTGCTAAAGCTGGGCTTTGTGCTGCTCCCGACCTGGGCATGGTTATCTGAGACTGAGCCACCCCACTATAGGACAAGCTGTCTTTACAAGCACTTTGCCTTGTGCCGTAATAGCTTCACAGGCCTGCAAGGCAGCACACATGGCTGCCCACTGTCTCAGCAAGAGCACGTCCGCTCCCAGTTTCCTTCCATAACTGGTACCAAAATCCGATGGGTACCTTCTCCGCCCACTTGGGCGACTGCCTTCTTGGCAGCTAGCAAGGCCTCCTTTACTTCTGGAGTCCAGTCCTAGGTCGTCCCCTTCCAGGACAACAGATACAGTGGCCGTAACAACTGCTCCAGGTGGGGAGTGAACACTCGCCAGTACCCCCAGAGGCTAACAGGCTGCAGCTGTTTCACGTTGTGGGTAAGCCGGCACCTGCCAATGCCTGCTTCAGGGCTCACCTTGGTCCTACCCGACCAGACAACTCCCCAGAATTTGACAGATAAGCCAGGTCCCTTGACCTTGCAGTCGTTGACTGCCCATCCCCATGAGTTCAAAGCCTGCTGTAGACTACTGGCAGCTGCATTTAAATCTGCACGAGAATCAGAGGTTAGCACAACACCATCAACACAACGGAACACTGGCACCGTGAGAGGCCCACCCAGGCAGCCAAATCTTGTGACACCAAACCATGACAAATGGTAGGGCTGTGCAAATATCCTTGAGGGAGGACGACAAAAGTTCACCATCGACCTTCTCACGTCAGTTCCTTGCTATCTACAGTCATCCCCCAGGCGCTGTCAGGCTCCTCCACCGGCCACACCGGGAGCCACAGCGGCTGCATGGGCGGACCATCCTCGCCTGTTCTGGCTGCAATACCATCTGTCCAATCTCCCCATGGCCCCTGGGAGACAACACTGCCCTACCCCGGCTAGAGGGCAGGCCAGGCAACTGTATGGCCGCGTGATGCTGGTGCCCCCTAGTGATGGGCTTCACCACACACCTGCAGGGGAAATTCACTTTGGGTTGTTGCAGTCATTAACCCTCTAGCACAGTGGTTCTCAACCTTCCTAATGCTGCGACCCTTTAATACAGTTCCTCATGTTGTGGTGACCCCCAATTTTATTGTTACAAATTGAACATAATTAAAGCATAGTGATTAATCACAAAACAATATGTAATTATATTATGTGTTTTCCGATGGTCTTAGGTGACCCCTGTGAAAGGGTCGTTCGACCCCCAAAGGG